TCACTGAAGGCGCATATAAACCATCGACAAATGTGTCTGCTTCGTAGTGATACAATACTAAAAAATGTGTCTTAATATATAAATCCTGAACAGGTAGACAGTGAGGACAAACTAAGAAAGTTTCTTATTATATATGACATTATGCAGTATTTATTGTGTCCCTTCTGACTTCTTTTTAATTTTCCTTTTTATTACAAAAGAAACAAAAACTCCTTGAAAAAAGTCCAAAGGAAGTAAATTTGTAGAGAATAATAGGGAAATATTGTCTTCCTAATTTGGACAAGATGAGTAAAAATCATTGTTACCTATTCTTTTTTTTTCAGGTTTTGTATGTTGAGTTTTTTAAATTTTTAATTTTTTTATGTATGACAGCAGAGTGCATTACAATTCATATGATGCATATAGAGAATAATTTTTTATATCTCTGTACACAAAGTAGAGTCACACCATTCTTGTCTTCATACAAGTACTTAGGGTAATAATGTCCATCTCATTCCACTGTCTTTCCTCTCCCCAAGACCCCTCCCTTCCCCTTTTGCTAAGTATAATTTATAATCTTGGACATAGTAATTTTTAAATGCCAATATAAAAAGACTCTAGAAGGTACAGAGAATTCACTCTGGCTATTCAGGACTCAAGGAATGGCAAATAGGTTGCTATATGAGTTCACTTTGGGGCTCCTGTGTGTTCTAGATGGAGCACTGAAGAAGGCTGATAATCTCAAGAATGATATCAGGTAGAGATAAATAAAAAAGCTCATGCAGAGTCTCATCCCTTTAATTTAAGGACCAGGAAGAGAGCAACCTTGCAAGACTAAGAGATCTTTAAAACAATACATGACCTAATCTAGAGAAAATAATAAAAACATAATGACCAGAGACCACCCACATATAGGGGTGGCAGAACAGATCCTGTATGTCTGTAGAGGCTGAATGAGAAATCTGGACTTAAATCCAGCATGGCTGTAAGGGAGAAGCACTGAACAGGAAATTTAAATAAAATAGGGGGTGGTCTCAAATGTAATACCTAAAATATCAAGTGTAAAATTAAAAATTATTCATCATATTAAGGATCAGAAACATTTAAAAACAAAAAAGATAATAAAAGAGAATACTGATGTGATAAAGATATTGATAGTCAATGTTTCTTAAAAGCTCAGTAGGATTTAGAACAGGTAAATATAACAAATTAAAAACAAAACAAAATGTCTCCCTGGACAGACTGAAGAGTTTGAGGCTGCAGAAGAATAAATCCATGCACTTCAAGATATAACAACATACATTACCTAGTGTGAAAATAGACTGAAAAAAATAAGTCAATGAATCAATCAAACTTCAGAGAACATTAGAGGAAAAGAAAATGCTGGAGGCCCAGAAAGAGGGAAGAAAGGATAATTGAGTTATCAAACAAATGAACAAACTAAGGAGGAAAAAGTCTATTATATTATATATTCTTTCTTTTATCAATTACATTGCCATTTTCTCTCTCCTGTAATTGCTAAAAGGAAGACTATATAACATAATACACTGTTCCCTCCTCAGTTTGTTCATTTATGTTTGATGTTTGAAAAAAGTTTATATCATTTGGTAACAATGTTCAATGTATGAACAGGAAACACTAAAGGGTAAATGGATTTAAATGGAAGTAAGTTTCCCATATTTTGATCGAAAATAAAATKCCGTTACTAGTAGAATGGTAAGTTGCAAATACATTATGTATATATTGTAATTCCTAAAGCAACAATTTTAAAAAGAAAGGTGGTGGGGGAAGCTATCATAGAGATACACTCAAAAACAGAAAGATAATCAAAATGAAATCTTTTAAAATGTTCCCTGTAAAGAATGGAAGAGATCAGAAACAAGAATGAGAAATAGAGAAAATAAATAAAACAAGAAACAAAAAGCCCAATATTTATTTTAAATATAAATGATCTAAATATTCTAGGTGAAAGTGCAAGTAGGGCAAGATAGATTTGTAAACCTATTCTGTGGTTTACGTAAGACTGACTTCACCATTAGCAAAAGGTAGAATCAAAGTAAAGTAAGAGAAAATAAATTAGGAAAAATATTTTTTAAAAATAGAAATGGATGATGTAATATCTTCATTATTCATTTCCTGAATTCTAAAAATTAGAATGCTGATGACCAAATATCCAGACTTATTTTTATAAATATAGTGATTCCCTGGCTGGCCTCAGTCACATATTTTCAAATATACTCTATATACTGAAGATGCCCAAATGTATATCATATTCTATGATCAATCTTCAATGACCTATTTTCTGTTTCTCAAAGTGGATATCTCTTGGAGTTGTCAAAATGTACTGACTGTCTCAATGTTTAAGATGAGGAATTTTCTCAGATTGTAACTGTTCTATTAATTTGGTTAAATGTATCTTGAAAATAATATACCATATTTCTTAGTTCATTTTGCAGAATATAAATCTTTAGCAAAATCATATTATTTACATTTGAAAAATATAATCCATGAGAATGACTTTATTTTTATCAACATATATTTAAATTTTATATTTATTTTAAGTATAAATGATCTAAATATACTAGGGGAAAGAGCAAATAGGGCAAGATAGGAACTTTCATTCTCCGTGGCTTTCAAGGGGATAAAATATCTATCAGTGTTCTAGAAAAGGATAGAGAAGAGATTTAAAGGCATGAAAGGTTAGCTCTGACAAAAAAAATATCGCTAGATCCATATTTCTTAGTTCATTTTTTCCAGAAAATAAATCTTTAGCAAAATCATTATGTCCTCAAGCAAAGAAAAATTAGAAAATATGATCTTCTACCTTCGCACTGAGGTGACTCTAAGTTCCATTTAGACACATCACTTCTACTTCCCCAAACATTTCAAAAGGTTTGATACATTCATAACCTACTCTGTCACCAGATGGATACTTAAGCATCTGGTTTGATATTATGTTAGCATTTTCCACTCTGGATGGATTCACACAGGAAATATCTGATTAGAAAGAAAAGAAAGTGTCTTCACCTAGTGTTAATTTTGAGTAGCTAATCAATGAATAAAATTCCAAATACATTTTAAATAGGATTGAAGTAGTTCTTCTTTGTCATGAAGAACTTTTCTGATTTTAATGAATTCACATGTAACACAAGGAAAAGAAGATATAGCAATATTTTTTTGTCAGAGCTAAHCTTTCATGCCTTTAAATCTCTTCTCTATCCTTTGCTAGAACACTGATAGATATTTTATCCCCTTGAAAGACATTGAGAATGAAATTTCCTGAATATTTCCACTTGGTTTGAGTACAACAAATATTATAAGTTCCATAAGTGCAACATGAATTTTAAAATGCAAAAAAAGAGTAATAAGATTATATTACATCACTCTTTGGTATACAATTATCTTGCTCTTTAATTAACATTTTAGCCTCTTAAAATAAAAACTGAAAGAGGCATCTCTTTAGAGAATAAGTCAAGAATTAAGAACACAGTTTGAAGAATATTTTTTTTATTCTTAAAACACAGTTCAAAAATGTTATGTACAACTATAATGCACCTATAAAAGCAAAAAAATAGTTAAAGTTAAAAAAGAGGAAGATTATCAATTAAAAAACTAAAGATGTGAGAAAGTAACAGAAAAGTACACCTATATTTATAGAAACATAGGTTTTAAAATTTATTTATAAGTGCTTTTGGATACTATGATRAACTATGTGTAATTCCTCAGAGAGTTTTAGGTTCATGGATAGTAATAACAGGCTATAGCAATGGTTCCCAAATTTTGGAGTATGTAAAATCCTTTTTTTTCCCCAGTAGGCCTAAGATGAGCTCAGGAATTTTCATTTGAATTCATAAAAATCTGTTCAAAAATTTGATGCTGTTGGTCTAGGGACCACACTCTGAGAACCATTGGGCTGTGAGATTAACCACTGTATATTTAATTAGCACCTTTCATTTCTAATCTTAAACTTACTTTGTCTTGGCCTGAAAATTAATCTATACTCATTTTTAAGAATGGTATAGAAAATTTAATATTTCATAAGACACTATACATAAATTTATATTGCCATCAAAGTACTTTTGCACATTGGCTTTCCTATCCATTTGCCATTAATACATGTTATAGTGTTGGACCCATCCACTTGGTAAAATTTTGGACATCTGTAAGTCACTTGATCTCCTGACTTATATGATTCTTTCCTCTCTCCTAAAAGTGTGGCACCATCAAAGATGGGTAAATTAAAACAATCTGTTCCTGAAAGAAAAAAATATGTATTTGTTCACTAAATTATAAAATATGTAATAATATTCTAAATAATACTTAGCTACCTATAGATCCAATGAATAATGAATAATATACTTCTGACAACTTGGCAAAATATGATGTTTTGACTTCAATTGAACTGTTCTAAATTTATCAAATGTATAAGATAGGAATAATGCTTGAAGAAATATTAGCAGTTCTAATGCATTAGATCAGATTTTTACATTCAAATTATTTTTTGCCCACACTTGCCAAATGTATTATGTATTTCTACTTTTGGCTTCTGCAAATGTGAACTACTTACAATAATTATTTCAAAGTTTTATGAAATATGTATTTTGTAGTGAGATTGGTGATGAACTGAGCATGAGATGGATGAGTAGGGGCCAGTTTCTCTTGGAACAGAGAGAGATAAGAATTCTGAGAATGGATATTAGAGGATGCTAAATGTTCACACAAAATGATGTGAAAGTGAAACAATTTGGCTCACAGTGTCAAACTTTTTTTAATTATTAGGCTATAATTCTCTGCCAGATTCAAGAAACTTCAGGTACCTTGTAAAATTCTAGAATTACAGCTTACTTTCTTATTTGTACCACTTATACTTTGAATGAGGGAATCTATCACACATATTATAAAATTAAATACAATGTACTTATGCATTCTGGTGGGGAAGACCATTTTCCTCCTAAACATTTTATAAATGCAGGTCCATCAATTCCTAAACCTTCTGAACAATTATAAATAACTTCTTGTCCTTATGGGTAACTGTCTAACTCATGAGACAGGACACCATTAGGAATGCAATACTTTTCAAAACATAGAAAATTCAAAAAATAGAAAATTCCTTCACAAGGAAGTCCTAAAAAATAAAATAATGAAAGAATGAATCCATGTTTTACAACTCAGAAATTCAATTTTATAGGTCAATTTTGATATTTCACAGTTTTTGAAAAGAAATAATAATAAATAAGCTATTATAAAGTCACAGAGAATGTGCATAAAGGCTTCTTAAGTCCACCTTTCTCATGTATGTCCACCTCTCAAACTGTAAAAACATGTGCAAGAAATTGAAATTAAAAACATGTTGATGCTTTTAAGACACCACCAGAGATTCTCTAATCAACCATGAGTGAWAAACAGAAACATACTCAGAATGAATAACATTGAATAAATTGATGAGATGGATTTACCAAGTATTTTAAGACATCAGAAGGAACACAGTAAGGAAAATATTTTTTAAATATTTATAAACTTGTTTGCCAAGCAGATACTAAAACTTACATAAATTTAAATTCACTACATGTTTTATTCTTTGAAAAAGAAATGCCAAATTAAAAAGTGACCTATAATGAAATTAATTAATATAAATAAAAAATTAATAGAAATAGGATTGATTCAATAATGCAATAGTATTTTAATGGTAAAGTATTTAAATGATTAAATACATATGATAATCTATATTATTCTATACCCTGACTTTGACAAAAGCATATTATATTCAATTATTTGTACTCTCAATTATTTAAGTATTTGTATTCTCAAATCAGAATTTGAGTTTTCATGCAGTCCTCACCTACACACYGAGGTGGAGGACTCCATTTGCCCATGTAGCATGTTATCTCATCTTCCTCAGAGGCTGTGAAACCATCTTCACAAATATAATTCARTTTAGTGCCATGTGCATACTGTCTGRATTCAATTGCTTCTTTCCTTTCTTCTGAAGATCTAGATGGACTAATTCTTCCATGGTCTATGTCAGGTGGTTGAGAACATGAAAGTTTTTCTGTATGAAAAACAGAAATCAAAGGGTCAGACATAAATAAAATGTTTAAATTAAAACTGAAATCAAATACTATTTAAGCCTGTCATCAARATATCTATGCTATCCTCTTGCCCAATATCTCCCTTGATTTGTGTCTATTTTATTATATGAAAAATATTCATAAAGAGGAGGAATTTGTCTGCTGGTTACATAATATCCCAAAGAGTTGTCCAATTTTGTTGACAGAAATGAAAAATGGTGACTGGTTTATGTACCTAGATCATAACTTAGAGTTTTAGGATCAAGTGTAATAGATAGAGTTAGAGAAAAGGTCCTCATCTTTTTCATTTACATAAAGCAGAGGGGATTATTAACTTCAATTGAAAGCATGTTATAAAGCAAGTTGCACAGTACTGACCAATACAGTGTGGTATTGACTGCCATCTTCCATTTCTGCACACAATTTCTTCTGCTTCCTTAATCAGATAATTTTCTTTGCAAAGAACAGATACTTTTTGTCCATCCTGATATTTCACTGTGGTTTTCATATCTTCAGCATTGGGAATCTGAGGTGGAGGTGGGCAGAAGTTTATCTCCACTTCTAGAAAATATTAAAATTAGATTTCTTGAATAAAAAATAGTAATTTAAGTATATTAAAATACTTTTCAAAAAATATAACATTCAATAACTATGTATCACAAGTGATGATGTATTTATGTTCCATGTTTATATATGTTATACTTTTCAATTTGGATGGCAGTTTAATATTACCTATTTTGATGGTCCTCCCATTTCTTCTTTTTAAAGCAAATTTCTTTATTTACAAGAAACTTATTATTTGTAATCTTTAGATAATCTTAACTGATTAATACATTTTTAATCACAAGTATTAAATAAAGTATGCAATGAAGGTGTTTTTAGAAATATACATGAACAAATGTATTGGGACTATAATAAAACCCTTTTGAAATCTACCAACAGAAGCTGATTACCTAGAGTAAAAGTTTGAAGTCAGTTAACAATTTGTATTGCTTCTAGACCATTAACCATAATTGCAAATAATTTACAGTGTGCCATTTGAAGTTTCAACCCTTCTGAACCTACCATTTAGAAGTACACTTACATTGCCTAGGGGTATATAAATTCAGGGTATTTATTCAGTTTAATGACTACACAGTTTAACTGTAGTTACACAATTAGTAGGGTATAAAATACCCCTCTGCAAACTTATATCTCAGTTCYCATAAAGCTAAATTCCTCAGATGTATCTTGATGGTTTGTTTATATAATGTGAAGATGAAGTATGTCCCTTTTGACTGGGAGAGGGCTCTGGATGAATCTGAAAGCAATTGGACCTCTGATTTCTTGAGCTTGCTTTCTCCTATTTTACTGTATTTTTAGTTCATTAAAAGCCTTATGCAAGTGTACACTGGGAAATACTGTAAATCTTTTCAAGTGTTTGTTATGCTGTTAATATCTCTTGGAGATATTTTACTGAATAAACTTGATTCATGATTATTATTTACTCCAAGGTTTCTGTTTTTGTTTAAGGCAATATAATCACATTTTATCAATAATGTTTTCTAATTTCTATTCTTAAATATTTTGACATATTTCTCAATGCTTTCATTATATATTTTCATAATTTCATACATTTATTTTCCTCAATTATTAATAATATTTAATTATTCTTCCTATTTTCCTTAAGTGTGTTCTAATTTGGCTTCTAGATTGTTTTATATATTGCTTTTATTTTGTTCTTTGTATTCTAATGTATATTTTAATGCTATAAGTATCTCTGCATTAAATCTGTTCCATAGATTTCAGTTTATACTACAATTACTGTAATTTAATTTACAGTAATTTTTGGTAGTAAGCAACTGATAAGGAAGTTATTTGTTTGTTTTCCTATTTTTCAAATTTGCAAGATGAGCATTTAAGATATGTAGTTAGCACTTTTCATTACTTTAATTTTTAGTTTAGAGAAAATACTTTAGGAAGTTGATTATTTAAAATTTATCTAGATTTCCTTTATCACACAGATATGATCAGTTTTTAATGACCTGGCTACCTTAAAATTAGATAGTATAAAATTAGGATAAGTGTTTAAAAACTTGGAAAAATATTTTACAACTATAAAAATGGTTACTTCACAAGAACAAATGTTGAATACATGTCTAAAAATATCAAAATACATAAAAAATAGACAGAAATAAATAAGAAAAAGGCAAATCCCTAGTCCTACATGTCAATATTGACTTACTGAACAAATAGGTAAAAGATTTGAAACAATATGGATAAATTTGAAAACCACTATTCACTTTAACCTTATATTACTACTAGAATATATGCATATTTTTTTAAAAAATTATTTTTTAGTTGTAGTTGAACACAATATCTTTATTTTATTTATTTATTTTTATGTGATGGTGAGCATTGAACCCAGGGCCTCACACATGTGAGGGGAGTGCTCTACTGCTGAGCCACAACCCCAGTCCCATATATGCATATTTTTATGTGAAAATGGGGCTATAAATAAGATAGAAACATAGAGTGGAACTTTTTAAAAAAAATCATAGTATTGAAGTATTGCATAGTTTCCTGAGAACAGAATTAAATAACTACACAGTCTGGTAAGAATAAGTTATCTACAAAAAATAAATATTTGAAAATGAAAGAGCACACGTCAAAATAATAATTGTTGGGCTAAAGGACAAATCACAAGGAAAATCATAATACATTTCACATGGAATACCAATTAAATATAAATTATATATAATATGTATACATAATTTAACTTTATCAATAAATACATTTTTAAATAAATATACATTTTATTTATAAAATACATAGTTAGATATTCATATACATATTTATATATCTAACTGTGGGACACAGCTAGGGCAGGTCTGTAAAAAGTGGAAATTTGAAGTTTTTATTTCAAATGTATGATGATTTAAATACACACACTAATTTCTAACTTAAAATGGTAGCAGTGGGCTAGGGATATAGCTCAGTCTTGGAATGCTTGCCTAGTAATGGAGGTGCAAGGCCCTGGATTTTATCTCCCATACCATGCACAGAAAAAAATGAATAAAATAAAGGTGAATGGTAATAGTAAAATTAAACTCAAAGTCTTTAGAAGGAAGAAAACCATATAGTTAAAAAAATGACAAAATTAAAAAGTGAGAAGACAGAAAGTTAGCAAAGCTAGAAATTAAAACTTTAAAAATCCAAATCTGAATGAGAGAAAATGAAAAAAATAGGGTGTTATTGGTTACTAAAATTATTAATAAAATTGGAGAAAACTGTTATGATTTGGCCCCAAACTTCCTGTGTTGGTGCAGAAATGTTTAGAGGTGAAATGATTTGTGACAGCTTTATCTTAATCAAACCATTCCAGTTTGAGTGGACTACATGGTAACTGCAAAAAGGTGGGGGAGGTGTGTCATTAGGAATATGCCCTAAAGGGATGTTCACCAAGCTATCATGATTTAAGCAATACTTCTCTGCCATGCTCTTCTGCTATGATACCCTGCCTCATCTCAGGCTCAGAGCAATGGATATGGTCAACCATGAACTGAACCTCTGAAACTGTGAGCCCCAAATAAACTTTTCCTTCCCTAAGCTGTTCTTGGGTATTTTCATCACAGCAATGAAAAGCTGACTAACAGAAAAATGATAAAGAATCACGATAGAGGACAACATATCAAGAATGTAACAAAGGAGTGACAGAGCAGGAATCCTCAATCCTCCTTTTCCCCATAGACACACTGGTCAACAATACATGAACCAATTCTGTTTGAGAGAAATCTACAAAGTGGTTGAAAGGTACTTAATGCCAGGTGAGTCCTAAACAAATGCATCAAAGCCAGTAGGAAAATTCATGTCTTTCCATATCCTCTCCCCCAGCACAAAGCTACACAATTGATAATAAAGTCCATTTCCAGACTTTTATTGGGCAAAGAAAGGAAGATTGGAGCTTGTGTTAATGCTCTGAATTCTCTGAAATTTTGTGTCAATTGTCTCAAAGTCATGATGCGATGGAATATACTTCAAATGCTCAAAGACATGCCCCCAGTGATGTGCCTCCTCCAGTCATATCTTACCTGTTTTTAGTCACCTGCCTATATAAATTCTTTTTAAGCTGGAAGTACAGTACAGTACTTTTAGTCAGTAGTCTTTTCATATTAATAATCCATCAAATGGATTACTCCACTGATTAGGTTACAGCTCTCATTACCTAATCATATCACCTCTGAACATTCCTGCATTTCATACACATGAGATTTTTGGGGACAACTTATCTAAAACATAAAAACAACCAATAAGCCAAAGAAGAAATCAAAAGAAAATTGAGAAAGTATCTTGAGACACATGGAAATGAAAATATAACTTGCCCAAACTTATAGAATTCAGCACAGTAGAACTGAGAATTACATCACATCATGTACCAGTAGAKTTTTTCCTCAAGAATGGAAGATCTAAGGGCTGCAGTTGTGGCTCAGAGGTAGAGCACTCTCCTAGCATGCGTAAGGGACCAGGTTCAATCCTTAGCACCACATAAAAATAAAATATCGTGTCTATCTACAACTAAAAATATAAATCTTTTTTAAAAAGAATGAAGGATTTAGGATTCTTTATATGTATGTGTGCACATCAACATGTAAAATTCACTGTATTTTAAATAAAGAAAATGTATTTAACATTATTCAACATGCCCCAATGATCAAAATTTCTTAGCTAACTAGGAACAGAAAGAAACCCCCTCAATTTGATAAACAGCACCTATGGAAATCCCAAAATAACATGACACTTATGGTAAAATATTGAATGAAGAGTGCTGAAATAAATCAATACTTTCATAGTAATTGATTCTTTTTCATACATATTGCTTGAATAACTGGCTATGCATACAGAGAAAAAAATCAACCGCTACTTAATCCTATATTCAAAATTAATATAAGGTGATAAAACTAAATTCTAATACTATAAAGCTTCAGGAAGAAAAATGTAGAAGAATGTGTGTACTTCACTGCATGTAAATTGTTTCCTTTTATAAAGAAAATTATCATGTTAAAATATATGTCATAGATTTGTTTTTTTAATTGATATGGCAGTACTTCCTATATATTGGTATGGCAGACTGTCAAAACTATTGAACCTAGTCCTTATAATTATAGAGAAAAACACAGATAAAAACTGAAAGACTAGAATGCTCTTTGCTATTCAACTGGAATTGCAAGTGTCAGTACAACCCAGAATTTTCAAGGCAGATAGAGACAAAAATTACCTTCCAACTTAAAAAGAATTTATTTCAACACATGGCTAAATTTTAAAAAATACAAAATATTACTTTAATAAGTGAAGAAAAATATAATAAATTTTCGAAAACATTGTACACAAGAACTTACTTGTGCAGGTTGGTTCAGGGTCCCATCGTCCATTGACACAGATTGAATGTTTCTGCTCCAACTTTCCCCTACATGGGTAACTGAAGTTAAAATTATGATTATATTCATTTTTATCTGATTGATTTGCTTCATTTGCAGTTAGTCTTGGTGCTTGACACTTCTTAAGTTGATCTGTCGCTATAAAATGAAAATATTTTCATGAAAAGACCAATTATAAGAATCAAGTCAATGTAAAGTAGCTGTACAGTCAACATCAAATGAAATTTTGATTTATGCCTTTAAATTCTATCAACCAAWTTATTCCTGGTCACCACTGCATGAGATGGGCCTTTATGTCCTATCTTTGAATGATCATATCTGAAATAAAGATATCTTGTACTTTGGTAACTGAAAGAGCACAAGAGACTCATTTTCTCAGAAGATCTGCATAGTAAATAGTTATCAAAGGACTAGATTTGAAAAAAAAATTTTAAAAGACTAGATTTGGTTCCATATTTTAAATATGTGCAAAAGATTCATACTCATTTGTTTTCCTGATTGCAACTACCACCTTATGTATAATCCAGAATCCTTAAATATTAAAATAAAAACATCCTCTATGGAAACATAATATAATAAATTGTTCATTTAAATAGATTTTTTGAGAGTGCTAACATAATATAATAAAATCTATTTAAAATATATTTTATAGGACATGAATAGTTAAGCAGATTTGTTATATGATGAGAGAGAGAGAGAGAGAGAGAGAGAGAGAGAAAAAATACTTGGAATAAGAAATTGTGTGCTTTCATTAGAAGTGTAGCTTGGTGGTAGAGGCTGGCCTGTCATTTCCAGGCTCTAAGTTCAATCCCTACATCATAAAAAGAAAAAGTAAAAAAGAAACCAGGTGCTTTAAAATCATAATCTCTCTTTTTCCATTCTTAGAGTCTTTGAGAAACTATTATATATATCAGATCATACTATAATCAAATAATATTATAATACCATAACAACAAAATTTTGCTGACTCTGTTATGAGTTCAATAAGTACTACAGAAGCTTTCAATGTACCATATATTTCAATAACTCAGGTAAGATGAGAGTTCTTTCTGAATTTGATAACAAATATTATCAGAGACCAGTACAGACATTTTATCAAATATTTGTTATTAACAATTTGAAAAGCAGAGTCAAGTGAGGATGAACAGAGCAAAGATAAATCAGTAACTAGCAAAGCACAGTAAGATTGTAAACCAATCTTTAAAAAATAATCCACAATGAAATGGGAAACACTTGAGAATTAGTCTTATCCTTGGGGCTAGTCCACTGTGTTGAAAAGGAAAAATAAGAGGTAGTAACTAAAGGAAGATCTTTGGTCAAGGGAAACTGTGACTGTGCCCTGGATTTTATCAGTTTCTGAAAGGATTTCTTTCATTTTGGTGAGTAAATAAATACATTGAGAAGCACGAAAAGCTAGAGTGGTGGAAAGTACAAAATGAATATTGAAAGGGTAGAATTATARACCAAACTATGAGAGCTGGAAGGACTTATATGAAGCAGACTATAGGCAGTAAGCAGAAGATGACTCACAGGATRAAAAACTCTGAGATCAGAAGAAATAATAATTGTAGCAGAAGTTTGAGTATAAGTTAGAATGAAAAGTTCAGAGTTCTCGTGCCTAATATTAGTTTCCCTCCCATATGAAATCAGATAAAACCATTTGTGTAGGAAAAAGGATAAGGATGAAGTGAGATTCAAAAGGATTGAAGACACTTTTATTCACAGAAATGTGTTTAGCAAAAAATGTTAATAATCAACATAATTTATTGTTTCATTTGACAAAAACTTAATAAATGCTTCTGTATGTCAATCCATCTTAATGTCATGAGAACAAAACAAAGGTAAGTCCTGTTCTGGAGGAACACTACCTTGTTCTGAGATTAATTAATGTCTAGAAATCCGATGAATAAGTAAGACTGGCTACCCAGGACAGACTTAAAATGAAGGACCCAGGGAAATCTAGGAAAGAACTCAGTCTAAGAGAAAAGTGAAGACTCTTTCCTTTGGTCATCAAAGACTTGATCACCAACAGGGCAAGTGTGAAATCAATCAGTGATATTTGTTTCCTGACCCAACACCAGATGTGTAATGTTGCTAAGTTACTACTAACACCTGTGCTGTGGCTCATGTGCTTCAGCTTGCTAACTTTGAAACTGAGAATTTATCCTTGTCAGAATCTCTGACAGAGAAAGATTCTTATAGGAAAAGATAGTAACAAGTGGGTATGTTATGGGCTTTATTTGTTTTCCAGGGCTTGAAAGACAGAGCACCATATAGAACAACAACATATTGTTTTTACAATATCTATATAAAATAGTTATATTTTCTTGGAAAGGAATATTCACATTTTAATCATGTGATTAAGTAAAATCTAGCTTTACACTTATAAGGTAAATAATATTAACAGGGATATAAACTTTAATAAATTCTGTTACTACTTTTATTTATTTCTTCTGGAAACTCATATTAAATGCTGAGCAATAAAATTCATTATAGTAAAGACTAGACTTTTTCAAGAATATCTCTAATTTTATGAGTAGATTGCAAATATATTTTCCATAAAACTTAAACTTCATTAAGTGTGAATTTGAGGAGGGYAGTCTTACCAACACACAGAGGAAGTTGGGTCCACATTCCACTAATACATGTAATTGATCTGTCTCCAATCATTGTAAAGGTTTCTGTACAATGGAACTCCACTGAATCCCCATGGTGATAAGGAGGATCAGAAGGCTGGGCAAAGCCATGGTCAAGTTCAGGTATAGCTCCACATGTTCTCTCCTCCTCTATGTAAATTTCACAAATACATGTTGATAATGAAGACACAGTATGTATGCTTAAATAAATACAAAAATGTTTCAGTTTAAATTTAATATTTTTAATATATTACCAATACATTTTGGCAAGGATGTCCATGTTCCATCAACACATTGAATTTTATTAGGTCCCTTCATCAAAAATCTAGGATTGCAATTATATTCTACTACTACATTGTGTCCATATTCTTCTTTCTTTGTTTCTTTAACTTCCCCATTGAATAGTGGAGGAGGTGGACCACATGACTGTACTTGATCTATAGAAGAAACAATGGTTAATGGTTAAATTGTCCCATCTTGCACTTAAAAAATCCAGAGAAATGGAGAGATTTCTTTTTTTAATTGATTATTTTTCATATGATTCATTGTAAAATTCTTAATGAAAAATAAATTTTTACATTGTATTCATATTTCCATGTTGGATTACTTCTTTTATAGTAGCATTGGAAATATTTTAAAGCTTTGAATATTTTCAATGATGTAGATATTTTGAAGATACATACAAACTGTTAGCAAATGTGGTTGTGTAAATTATATTAATTTTTCATTCTATAGTAACATTTTATCATAACTTTTTGAGAAAGTATCATCAATGAGACAAGCATTTGATCAACATCTTTAACTGATTTTCTAATACACTCCACTGAGTTAACTATAAACTGCTTAAATATTGTTTAGATATACTTTATGAAACTTGAAAGAAGTCCTGTATATATGCCCAGTATTAATGGTAGCAGTGTAGGAAAARTGGAAAGTAACAAAGTAAATCTCTCTAGTCTCAGCCACCATATTTATATGTATGAATACTTCTACTACACATTTCAAGAAATAACTGGTGATTCAATTCTTAAATAAACTAGTTGTGCTTTCTGCCACATAGCACATATCAACAACTTCATTAATTAGATTACAGATACAGTGGAAGCCAATACAAAATTAATAGAAGAAAGAAAAAAGGTTTATATTCAAAATTCTAATCATYATATTTACAACAGAAARATAAATATTCACCTTTACATATTGGGATATCYGGGGACCATCCAAAATGGTAGCATTGTACTGAATCTGGTCCAACTCTTGTAAGTCCTGATCGGCAGGAAAATTTCAACAAATCTCCAACTTTATATTTATCTTTCTTGGGATCAGCCATTAAGAATTTTCCCATTTTGGGAATCCTGCATTCCCTTTCTAAAATAAAAAATAAAATAATTTAATAAGAATATATAATTAATCTTTGACAAATTACATTTTACATGTCATTTTAAAATGAGGTAGGTGTTCAGTGATGCATATACAGGACAGTATCAAACAAATCCTCTTCCTGGAAAAAATGTTATGGATTAGTTTTATTCACTGCCTAAATTTTCTCATCTAGAACTCTGAGAAATATAGTGATATTGAATGGCATTATATCTGTCCTGTAATTTAACTTGCAAATTCAGGATTAGTTTTCACTGAATCTGGCTTACTATTGATATTTGTAAAATTGATTATTTTTCATATGATTCATTGTAAAATTCTTAATGAAAAATAAATTTAATGTTAAATTTAAATGTAAAATTTAATGTTATATTTTTTGTACCCTTAAAACACAGAATTATTCTCATATTAAATCAACCTGCTTTGTATAAATTTTTAATTGTAAATTTTTTTAAAAACTGGCTTTTCTGTTTAATATAATTTAGAAAATAGATTATATTAAAATCATTTCTAATGTATTTTTAGTTAGAGGAACATTAAAAATCATATAATTAATATATTACAAATAAAGAAAACAAACTAAGAAATAGTTCAAAGTCAAACTGATAGGTGTCTTGAATCCTTACATTAATATTCAATTATTTTATTATAATTTTTATTAATGATTATTAATTATTTTAATTCAAATGTGGAATACTGTATAAAATTCTCACATTTTTTTTTAATTTTTAAAAAGTAGGTAACATTAGCAAATAACATTGAAAAATTATTTTTCTTATTTGGAATACCTCTTCCTTACAAATTCATAAAATTAAGGCTATAATTAAAAAATTAGAACCATGGTAGAGAGAAAATGGTTACTATCAAAATTCAAGTACTAAAACATTAATAAAATTAAATGTACACTAAAAACTATTCTTAAGAATAATGCTCCAAAAACTACAAGTTTTTTCTGTGGGGCTGGTGATGAAGCTCATGCTTAGCAGGTGTGAGGCTCTGAATCAATCCCCAGAACCCCAATTAATTTTGTAATTCTTTTTGAGTATTGCAGATTACTTGAGAAAAAAACTACACTTGAGTGAGAGTCACTGGGATTCCGCTCCTTGAATTCTATTACAATCCTCTACATTAAAGTCATTTTGTCTTTGGAGGGGGTTTCAAGATGGCGGACTAGAGAAGTCACTCTTGTGGCTGCCCAAGGCATGAAACCAAGAAAGCAGACAGGTAGCTTCTTAGCAAGGTGGGTGTACAAAAAAAGAAAACAAAAACTGTGGGGGTGCTTTATTGGAATTTAATGCTGGACATTCAAAGCAGATCAGGAACTCAGGAGGTTGTATAAAATAAAATAAGGAGGAAATCCCGAGCTCCACAGCCACTACCATAGCTGGAAGCACCAGCCACAGCAGTCCCACCATGACCAAAGTGGAGTGATAAGGGAATTAGAGGAGCCCACACTTGGGGTAGACTTGAGGCTTGTCTAGATATAAAAAGTTTAGAGATCAAAGACACTGCCCAACTAAACTGAATGGTGTACTTCAAGTATTCTTGTGTGGGAAAGAAGCTGCCATCTCCCAGACTTTATGCAGAGGACAGAGGAAAGAACCATTTTGCAGCCATGGTGTGGTGGCCAGTACCCAGGAGAGCTGATTCCTGCAAAACCCAAGTTTGGCCCAAAATAAAGGCCTGGAAAACCCACACTCATTACATAAAGTGTGTCTAAGTAACCTGGAGAAAATCAAATGTGGAGAGAGGTTTACACAGAGGAGAAGTGGTGGTGGAAACCCCCTTTGCTCTCCCCCTCTCCCTCTAAACATACTTCTTGCAGAACCAGCTAGAAGAAACTTGCCTAGCTGGGAATTCAAAAAGGGTGGGGTGGGAGAGATTGGGTTTGGAGACTGAACCCCCCAGGAAGCATGGAATCAACAGGTGATGTAGGGGACTTAATATTGGCTTCTCGCCCACATAAGTGGAACCCAGGGGAGATCCCTGGGGTGCAGTCTTCCAACATGGACTGACGATTGCTGATCCCTACATGATTTAAAGTCTCCAGACCAGTTGGCATTCAGTGAAGAACCTAGAGCCCACCTAAGTCTAAAGTCTGCCTTCAGGAATTCTACCTATGGGATTACCTCTCTCTCCCCAGCAATTCCACCTAACACTGCTGAGAAGGGAAGCTAAGAATCTTTTGAACTCCAGTAAACACAATGTTCATTTTTCATCAAGATCTTTTTTTTTCTCTGTTAAATTGTGACCTTGAGTTATTCATGGACATTTATACATATTCATATTTGTTGTTTTTTCCTCATTTATAGCATTTTTGAAACCAGTTATTTTTCATGGATCAGTATTTTGAAAACTAGGATGTTTGATTACTATATCTCAGTTTTGTTTTCTATTCTTTTATTTTTATTTTCAATTTTAAAAACTTTTAACTTATATATGTATTTTTTCCTCTCACTTATCTGTTTCTCTTGATTTTCTTTCTCTCTTCTGCTAACAGACAGTCTCCATTGTTCTACCTTCCACTCTTCCTTTAATTTTTTACTTCTATCTTCTCTCCTCCTCCCTCATAATCATTATATCCCACATCACTTTTGTTCTTTCCAGTCTATTATTTGAAATTGTAAACCCTTTTCCAAACATACTGTTTTTACTGTGGGCAATAATTGATCATGTAATTTCTGTTTATTGTGACATTTAGCATTGCAGATGTCATAATAGGAACTGTCTGGTTTAAAGCTATATATTGTTTGTATTGGTTATTGTGATTATTTGTTCCCACTTAAACAGTGAAGTACTGGAAATCTTCAGGGACACTACAAGTCCACAAGGCAGAAACTCTGCTGCCTCAGAGCCATATAGTTACATGGGTAGACACATAAACAACATGAAAAATCAAGGGGAACATATCGCCCCAAACAAACCAAGATATTTCAATAATAGAATCCATTAACACCAAAGTGGAAGAAATGTCAGAGAAGGAATTTAGAATGTACATAGTTAAACTGATCTGCAAAGTAAAGACAATATAAGAAGTAAAATCAGAAAGAAAATACAGGAAGTAAAAGATCACTTCAAAAAAGAGATATTCTGAAAAAAAATCAAGCAGAAATCCTCTAAATGAAGGAATCAATAAACCAAATTAAAAATTCAATGGAAACCACCATGAGCATTCTAGACCACTTGGAAGACAGAGTTTCAGGCAATGAAGACAACATATATAATCTTGGAGATTATATTTCTGTGGCGAAAAGATGTTAAGATACCATGAACATAACTTCCAAGAAATATGAGATAACTTGAAAATTTACAATTTATTGGGATAGATGAAAGCTCAGATATAAACCAAAGGAATGCACAATCTCTTCAATGCAATAATATTAGAAAATTTCACAAACTTAAAAGTTCTTTTGTGTGTGTATATTTATTTTATGCTGTTTTATATAAATTCTCTATTTCATCATATTATAGAAAGCACTGCCCTTAACAAGAAAAAATGATTTTGACTGTTGAGTACTATCGAACTGCTATATCTATACAGAGATAGTAACTAAATGTGTGATTTAAAGAGAAGTGTGAGTGAACAAACACTGGATGAGACATACTTGTCTTTGTCTAAATGTCCAAATCATATATCTTAGTGCTGATGAACAGAAATGTTAGTATAGATGTTTTTACTCTAAGGTGTTTACTACTTTAAGATTTCTATAAGTCTGTTTTGCTTAAGTGGTTTAAGATAATAATGTAAACATGTCCCCATACAAAAGAACTCCCAGGACATTTGAAAAATGTTGTATATCTGTCAATCTGTGTGCTGTTTTCTGCTACACGGCTGAGGCAAAAATACTAAGCTGTCATTTATTCATTCAATATATGGAGACTTACATCTCCTGGAAATGTGGTTATTAGTCTTCATAAAATTGGCAATTAAAAGCTACTTTGACTGAACTCGTTTCTATTGCTATATCTCTGTCACTCTTACTTGCTCTCCTCTTCTGCACATCTTCACATTTTCCATGTCTAGTGACAGTGGAAAAGCAATGAGAATCATATATTCATAAGTCTCATTCAGTGCTGGAGATTGAATCCAGGGCCTTGGGCTGGGCAAGCACTCTACCACTAAGCTAATGCCCTAGCCATGTTTTGAAGATGGACACTTAGTATTGTAAAAGCTTCTGGCTGCACACAGCATGTATCTGTTTATAATCACATACTAGAACTATTTTTATTAATTGGTTTCTTATGTGCCTTAATTCATTGGATTTTGGATTGATTCTCTGATACTGCAATGAAAAATCCAGAAAGCAAACCTGGGTTTGTGGGTTTTTTTTTTTTTAATCATTTTCCCCTATCTTACAAACGGAATTGCTTTAATTTAAATGGATTAAATTTTAGTGGATGCTCAATGCTGCCAATCAAGTCTCAAGGTGTGGTATCTTCTACTACCATTTAAATTTAAGCCTTTGAACATTACACGGTGTTCCTCATCCTCTTTCCCTCATGCACTACTCAACCTCAATGCCCTTGTCTCTTACTTCAAAATACAATAGAATCATCAGTTTCTGATTCTTTCCAGCATTAGATTTACACACCCTTGTTCTTTACTTCCTCCTGTTACAAAATTGGGTGGTCTTGTTGGCAACCAGTACCAGTATTTATAACAGGAGCCCCATATTGCCCAAATCTACCACAATTTTATAGTCTTCTAATTGGACATATCAAAGAAACTACAATAATAATGTAAGTAGATTTCCTTGGCTGCATTACATGACAGAAATATGGCAAAAAAAAGGTTACTTGGACTATTTAGCCTACTAACCAAAACAATCCTTTTTATATGGCCTACAAGAGGCATTAATTTAACTCATTGCTTTAAAAATAGATTATTATCTTTAATGTTGAAAATACCCTTTCCTCCCAGTTTGTTAAATCAGAAGGAACATCATGATTTCATGTTGTTCTTTAGAAATATCTCTAGGTAATTCAAATTTCTAAAAATTAAACACATTCAGGTTTATTTTTTATATAGAAAACAAATTTCTCAAACAGTACTTACCATAACATGTGGGTTTATGTGACCATCCATCGTCCTGACATACTATGGATCCTTTGGCACGCCTGAATCTGTTTTCAAACCCAACATTACATTCATAGTCCAACTTGTCATTGAGTTTAAACCAGGTGGCRTTACTTTTGGTTTTAGCATTCTCAAATGCTGGCATATCACAAGATTCTAATGCATAATRAAATTGAGGATTTTATTTCTATTGTAATTTAAATGACAATACTAGTAAATCTCACCCCAAGAACACAGACTTTATAAGTAAATATGTGATTAGAATTAAGTACTATACAAAAATAGCTTAAGACCAGTGATAAATCATTTTTTCTGAAGGTTACTATAAATAAAAAATATGATTGCTTAAACTCTCTGAAAAGTTTAAAAACTTTGAAAGTTTAAAAAAAATTTAAAAACTTTTTAAAATTCTATTTTATTTAAGCATTTATCTGATGCTAGTAATAAAATAGTAATAAATGCTAGTAATAAAATAAATATGTATTACTTGTTTTAGAAGACTGGAATGGCATTTTGAGAATTAAGATGTCTGACTTATTAGTAGTTGCGACATAATAGAAGAAAGGTGGATTAATTAACAAAATATTAATGTATTTTAACTAAGATTTTCTATTTCTTAATGAGAAAGTTTCATAATGGGTTATTTATCAGAATTTAGCATATGATGATTTTATAAGGCAGCAATTTGTATCATTTTTTAGCTAGATGCTGTAAGCATAGAAATTGTAAAATAAGCAATAGAAATTAAGAAGAATGACTATCTTAGTCATGTCATTTAAAGTATGTTAAATATTGCTTCCAAAATATTACTGAATAGCTTTTGTGTTTATTAAACACAAAGATAAATAGAAATAATCATTCCTAGAAAATCTTCATTAACCTTGGGTATTATAGCAGGAAAATCTTTCAGCATAGCAAAAACTGGTACCATCTTGAAACACTTCCTCCTTTCCAATACCTAGATGTTTATGCAGATGTTTAAGGGGGAGGTTTTTCAGAAGTAGATCTATTTTACAATGTCAAACATATAAGTTATAAAGGTTAAAATATTCTGAGGTTATATACCAAGGCCCCATATTTTCACTAAGAACATTACTTTTATGTCTGGGAGCAAAGTCTTTGATATAAGAGGTTGACCACCTAAAACACAGGTATACCTAACAGTGACAAAGATCTCAGCTAAAATAAATGAGTTAGCACAAGAATACACATGAAGCTCCCTGAGTCACTTCTAAATCGTAGTATTCTTTAAAATGTGTGTCAGGGGAGGAAAGATGTACTTATGTTCTACCATACTAGAAATTCTGAGAAAAAAAAATGATGACATATACTTTTCATCAAATGTTTTTGTTTGCCTGTTGAAATGAAACCACATAGTCACAATGAGAAAGAATAAAGTTAAACTTTAGTATATCATCAGGATAATGATACTAATATAATAAACCACTTACTAACACAGGAGGGTTGAGCTGACCATCCATCTTGGAGGCAGGTAATCTATCTGATGTATTACCAACTTCAATTGCATAACTTGGTTTGCATTTATATTGTGCTCTTTTATTTAGATTATATATAAAATCGGATTCAGAAAGAAACCCACTCTTAATTTCTATATCATCTTTTGAACATATTTCTAGAAGGGAACAGGATAAGGAAAAGACAAGCACATGTAATATAATTATATAAAGACTCTAATAATATGACAGTGCAAAAATAATGAGTCATTTACATCTAAATTTCTGGAATAATTATTAATCACCCAGGTTATTGTGCTAGAGAAATTAAGCAATGACTTTCCAGAAATATTAAATAAAGCTCCTTAATGAAATGCTTTTTTATCTCTTTTATTTGGGGGGGGGTAACAAGGTTAGAATTAAACATTCATAATCCCTTCTGAGAAATTATAAGAAATTTCAGTACAATTAATTACAATTATGTAATTAGATTTCCTTGGCTACATTACATGACAGAAATATGGCAAAAAAAAATTACATTGACTATTTAGCCTATTAAACAAAACAATCCTTTGTATACGGCTACAAGAGGCATTAATTTAACTCACTGCTTTAAAAATAGATTATTATCTTTAATGTTGAAAATACTCTTTCCTCCCAGTTTGTTAAATCAGAAGGAACATCATGATTTCATGTTTTTCTTTAAAAGTATCTCTAGGTAATTCAAATTTCTAAAAATTAAACACATGCAGATTTATTTTTTTATATTGAAAACAAAAAAACGAAATTTCTGAAACAATGAATCCAGGATCTGACAAAATGCCTAACTCCATAGACAATGTGTTTATTTTCCCTTAGGACTTGCTTCACATCTGAAAATAATTTGGGTTCCTTAGGCATCCAAACCTCATCTAGCCAATTGGGGTTCCTGAGATCAGGAAATGATCTTAAAGAAACTGTCAGCACAGTTACTACTGGCTCCAAGAATTTGAAATGTCATCATAATTGTGTGCTTAAAATATAAAGGATGGATATCAGGCCCAGTGGCCTGCTGAGGGGCAGGCCCGCCCCCTCCCTCCATGCCTGCAAGTTAGGTGGAACTCTGACCACCGGGCACATCAGGCCCAGCAGCCTGCTGAGGGGCAGGCCCGCCCCCCCCCCTGCCTGCTAGTCAGGCTGAACTCTGACTACCAGCACATCAGGCCCAGCGGCCTGCTGAGGGGCGGAGCCGCCCCCTCCCCCCGCACCTGTGAGGTAGGCGGACCTGCGACCCACCGGCAGGTCAGGCCCAGCAACCTGCGGAGTGACAGAGCTGCCCCACGTGCCTGCAGGGTAGGTGGACCTGTGACCGACCAGTAGAGCAGACCTAGCGGCCTACCAGCCTGTTAGACAGATCACCATAATTGGAGGAGGATCACAGCCACTACCTGCCCTGCAAGGGAGTTTTTTCAACTATACAAGAGCAATATAAATAAATAGAGGGAAAATTTCAAAAACACAACAGTTTCACCACGCAGAAAAAAACGCGAGCAGTATGAAAAGACAAGGAAAGAAAGGACCACAAGCAATGCAGGTCAACTCAACTTTAGAAGAGGTAATAGCTGCAACAGATGCAATGTCAGACAAAGAATTCAGGATATACATGCTTCAGATGATCTGGAGTCTCAAGGAAGACATGGGACAGCAAAATCAGACAATGAAAGATCACTTTGACAAGGAACTACATAAACAAATCCAGGAAGTAAAAGATCAATTTCACAGGGAGTTAGAGGTAATAAAAAA